TGGGAGTTGGCCCACAGGCGAAGAATGTCATCAGTGTCAGGGAACTGTATGCGGAGCTGGTCTATATTTTACTGTGTATGTTCTCAACAAAAATAAATGAGGCAGTTGTTGTGTGCAGAATTGGAACTGACCCCTGACACATCAGTGGGTTTTCAGAGACAGTGAAACCAGCAGCTGGTAGATTAGAACTGTGTGCCTTTGGGACTGCAGTGCAGCGTCTTGCCACTAGGCCACCTGAGCTCCTAAACACATACACACCCCACATATAAAGATGTTATGTCCCGTGTGATTCTGATAGAATCTTCTGAAAAGACCGAAATGTGGAATCAGTGGAAAGATCGATGGTTGCTTGCGGTTCAGAGGGGGAGCACAGAGCATTTCAGGCCAGTGAAGTGATTCCACAGGACACTGTCACGGTGGACACGTGGCATGGTGGACACATAGCCCTGGACCATACAGTCAGCCTTCCTGCAAACCACAGACCATCCTGTTACAGTTCACAGTAACTCTCAATATTGTTTCCTCAGCTGTAACAAGTGTATCCCATGACTTTGTAACATACTAGCAGAATGAAAAGTGCACAGGGTCACAACAGTATCTATTTCCTGTGCCATTTTTCTGAAATCCTAAAGCTGCTCTGAAAAGAAAGTTTATTAACTAAACACTTAGGAAGGACATGGGTATTTCCATCTGTGTGTAAAATGACATGCACACTAGCTACTTCTTGGCTATACTGTTTGTAGAAGTAAAAGGTTAAAAACCAGTTGTATGCCCATCAACAAACGAATGGATGGAGAAGCTCTGGTATATCCACACAATGGAACACTACGCTGCATTGAAAAACAAGGAACTCATGAAATATTATTCAAAATGGGTGACCCTGGAGGACATTATGCTGAGTGAGGTATCTCAGTCACAAAAGGACAGGTGCTGCATGGTGCCACTATTGTAGAACGGGAATGACATTAGGGTTGGGGTGAGGCTGAGAAAAATTGGATAAATTATGTATACTGCATTGAAAGAGGGAGGGAACTCTTTGAAAGTGATATATAATTAGGTATTATGGTTATGACAAGAGTCCAGAATGAAGGTTGCATAGTGGAGTGTACTCAGGGCGGCGGGAGGGGGGTGATTCTATACCACTGAAATAATTTTTCTTTTACTTTTCAAAGAGAAAACTGAGGGGAGGGGTGGGCAGGGAGAAAAATGCAACAATGAATATATGGAAATCCAAAATTTCTGTAAACGTTAATTAAAATTAATTTTTTAAAAAAAAGAAGGGGGGGAAAAAGAACCAGTTGTAGAGGGAAGACACCAATCCCTCGTAACCCAGGTGTGTCAGTGCGGCCGTGCTCCATGTGGCTGAGGAAGATTGCCAGGCCTTTCTGCCAAAGCACCTCTCAGTGAATTTGAACTTCCAACCTTTTGGTTAACAGGCAAATCACTTATACCACCCTGGGACTGGGCTAACTTTCATTGTTGTCGAGATCCCCCTAAAACAGGCCAACTTCACAACCCCTGTTATACTTGGGGGCCCTGATGCACCAGGCTCCTACCCCTCTACCAAGGACGAGGTGTTTCTCCCAGAACTGGTCTCCCCTGATAATGCCCAAAACATGTGAGGAAGTCCTGCCATCCCCGCTAAGGAACATTCTGGAAGCTCTTCTTCCAAGACTCATTTGTTTGCTCTTCTGGCAGTTCATGGTTTATTTAATATCCTTTGCCAACATCCCAATTCAAAAGCATGAATTCTCCGGCCTTCCACACTCACTGCAGCTTTCCTGAGCGTATGAAGTGAGGTGCCCAAGAGGCCCACGGCTCAGATCAGGTCCACTTGAGTTTCCAAAGTGACCCTTTGCTTTTTAACATTCTAGATGTCTTTTGTGGCCAAGTTTCCCCTATGCAATATATTTGATTTCTTAACTGCTGCTTTTATGGGCTCAAAAGCAAAGCTGCTTCCAGCCATCGAGTGGTTTCTGACTGATGGTGACCGAGTGTGTAAGCCCTTCGCGGGGGTCGGGGACAGGGACGCATCCTCTCACTCGCAGGCAGCTGGGAGACATGACCTTGACCTCAGCAGCCCACAACCCACCGGGCCTCCCAGGGCTGCAGGGCCTCACTGTGCTCGAGGGGAACCAGGAGGCAGCCACTGTGTCGAGCAGCATTCACCCACAAAGAAGGAACCGAGAGTCTGAGCGCCGTGGAGCGGCGGCCTGGGTGAGAGCTCGTGTGGAAAAGAACAGAGTTCAGTCTGTGACGGCAGGAGGCTGTGCAGGGGAGGCGAGCGCCCGGCTGGTGACCTCTGGGACCGTGATGAGGTGCAGGGAGGTGCCGGGCACTTTTTCTGGAACAATCTTAGGTATCTTTTTAAATTCTCTGCCTTGTGTCTGTTTTACCTATTAAAGGCATACACTGTAAAACATATTTTAGGAAGGCTGATGCTTGGGGAGGGGGAAAAAAAGCCAACCATGGAGGATTTGGATGGCTATAAAGGGGGGTGGCTGGGAAGTGGGCCCCTCGGCAGCCCTGAGCCTTGCCCTGTCTCACACCTTTCCTGCTCTGGTTCAGCAATTGTTGGGGGCCTCATGGGGACCCTGGGGGTGAGCTGAAGCTGGGCTGGAGCCAGATCGACCACCCAGATCCTGGAAAGCCCCCGAGGCTTGGCTCACTTTGAGGACACAGGAGCTCTGACTAGGGGGGCTGGGTATGAAGACCAGCCAGGCTCCCAGCACCACACTCTGGTCAGGATGGCGGTGAGCCTAAGGAGAGGCAAGCAGATTTCCACACGGGAAAAGCTGACTTCGGACTGGGGTGGGAGATGCCTGAGAGGACCAGGGCTCTGCTGGGTCCCAAGATCCAGAACTGCAGGACCCCTGACCCCCTTAAGTGACCCCCAACTGGATGGCTGTTGTGGTGGGTTTTTACTTTATTAATTTTAATGAACATTTACAGAGATTTTGCATTTCCATTCACTCACTGTGGCACTTGGATGTCTGGTTTTGAGGATGAAGTTGTGGTGAGGTGGACAGTGACTCACAGAGCCCTAGTGCTTGGGTTAGGCCTCCTCCCAAGCACCAGGCAGACCCCATCCCTGGGTGTTCCTGGAGAACCAAGCAGCACTCTAAGCCTCCAAGGGAGCATGTCAGGGACTGAGCTGGTAGGAGCCATGGGGACACCGGAAAGGGTAAGGTGGTGTCGTGTGTGTGCGGAGCCAGGTTTTATTAGAAGGGGGGTGGGGAGGGCCTACGGCCAGAGGGATAGCCCTGAAGTGGTGCTGACAGGCGCCCTCTGGCTGCTGTGAAGGGAAGGTGGGAGACAGGGGTCAGGGAGCAGTCTTCTGGTAAAAGCCTCCTCCTCCAGGAAGCCCTGCTGCTCATCTCTTCCTCTGCGCGGCCCAGACCCAGCTACTGAATGTCTCCTTCAGGGCTGGGGCACCCTGCAGAAGCTCCCCACCACCCATATGGGGATTGCTGGGGTACACTATTGGTTTAGGCCGGGTGGGGGAGGGATGCTCAACATACCCTCAGGGGACCCTCCAAGGGGAACTGTGTGTAGGGTGAGGATGACATCAATCCCTCAAACCTAGTAAATGTTTACAGCCTCTGTCTCCTCAGTTGGGGGTCCCCAGAAGGCAGCTGCCGCCTTTCTGAGGGGACTGGCAATTGAGGGGGAGTGGGAGGGCTGGCAGCTCCTCTCCAGCCCTGACGGCTGGTCTTGGAGAACTTAGTCCCAGGCTGCCCCCTCCCCCTTGTATTCAGAGGAACCAGGCTGGGAGATGGGCGGGACTTACCTGGCTGCTCCTCCCAGGCCCTGGGCTACCACCTGGGTGAAAGGATGCAGGGTTTGTGGGGAGGTGGAGGCGGCCCCTGGCAGCCACCACAAGGACAGGAACCCAGGCCCCAAGGCGTCGCTACACCTCCTTCAGGGAATGATGTGAAGGGCCCCTGTTAGGCCCACTTGCCAGGTAGAAAGGCTGAGGGTCAGAGGATTTGAACTCAGACCCTTTCTCTAGCAGCAGCGAGGCCTGAGACCCCTCCACGTTGAGGAGAGCCTCCATCTTTTTGGACTCCAGGGCCAGAGGTTCGGGCACCTGGGGGGGGGACCCTGTACTGCCAGGCTGCTGGGAGGACTCTGGCCGGGATGCGCTGGTGTGGCATCTGTCCCGTGTGGTGGAGATGGGGGTGTAGACACGACCTGTGTCCTCCCACACATGGTGGAGGGGTGACAGGTAAAGAGCAGCACATGTGGCCCCCAGCCCCGTCCGCTCCCCAGGTTGGGGCCCAGCAGTAACTTATGACTCTGCAGGGTCCACGCACCCCGGCCTCCGGCAAGCTGTGTGTCATTTCTGGAGAGTGCACCACGCGCAGCCGCCAGCACAGGGTCCCTAAATCACTACTGACAGGCGGTGCGGCCAGGCCCCGGACAGTGTGGCCGAGGGCCCTGGCTCCAGGCTGGCGGGCAGGCGGGCCCTAGCGGCTGGCCGGCCACCCACCTGCCAGTCGTCCAGCGCTCTCCACTCCAGCGCGCAGGAATGTGGAGGCGGTGCTGGGCTGGGCCTGTTGCCACTGGCTTTGTGGGTTCAGGGAAGGCCAGGCAAGGGGAACAGTCCCTGACCTGGGGCGGTGGGGCCATTTCCAGGTGCCTGTGGGGCCACCCGGGGGCTCCTGCGCCCCCCAGGACGAGGCTGAGGCACAGAAACAGCTCATCTTGATCCCTTCCCACATCCCCTTCCATCTCCCGGGCCTGGGACAGCCATGGGGGGGGGGACAGCCCCAGAGTCAGGTGTGTTGTAGTCAACATGGGGCAATCTCTCCCACTCCCCCTCTGGTCCACCCTGAGTTCCCCCGTGTCACTGGCACTCCCAGGATTAGAGGCAGAGATGGGGCTCCCTGGAGAGGGTGGGCCACACTGGATACACACACACACACACACACACACACACACACACACATAAATACATAGTTTATTTTCAGCCATGTCTGCTCCCAGCCAGCGCTGTCTCACACTTTGGGGTCTGCAAGCACCTTCCAGCCCTCCAGCTGGCCCATCTTGACCAGGGCAGCAGCCATTCCCATGTATGCGCAGGCCGTGGCGCCCACGCCGTAGCTGTGCACTGCAAGAAGGGAGGGGAGGTCAGGGGGTGTGGGCCCAGAGGGGACCCTGCTCCCACGCTGTGATCCCTCTCTGACCAGGGCAGGCTCCAGATTCCACAGCAAAGTGTCTCAACCCTTCTACCCACTGCACAGGTGCTAGACTTTAAAAGTGGAGAAACTGAGGCTCAGAAGGAGGCAGCTGCCTGGGCCCCACAGACTGAGGCTGGGCCAGGCAGCAGCGCCAGGCTGTCCAGACTGCCGATGCCTCTGTGGGCACCTCGTCTCGGCCCCACTGTAGGAGGACCTGCGGCGGGCTCAGGGTGGGGCATGTGGGCCGAGGCCTCCCTGGGAATCAGGGAGGGCTGAGTGTATCCCCTCCATGAGCGGACAATGGTGGCCCAGCAGGGAAGGGCCAGCAGACCCTGGAAGGGCAGGGGGTCTTGCTCCTTGGCATCTGAGCCTCTGGAATCTTCCATCAGCATCACTGTATGGCCACAGGCCCTTCCCTCAGTCTGCAACCTCAAATGCTCCAGGGGTTCAAGGGTTCATGAGAACAAGTGTGGCCAACCAGTGTGTGTGTGTGTGTGTGTATGTGTGTGTGTGTAGGTGGGCACCGACTTGGCTCAGGTCCACTACTGGGCACTTCAATCAACACTCCTGCCTGAGGGGGTCCCTGCAAGTTCTGGGGGTCCAGGGAGGGTCAGACAGGAAAAGTCTTGTCATCTGAAGGGGTGAAGTCCAGGAGTCCAGGGCAGGGGGTTCAAGGTTGCAGATGGGTGTCAGGGACAGAGAGAGTGGAGGCCCAGCACAGGGGGTACAGCTGTGCAAAGGCCTTGGGCCAGGGCCAGGCTTTGGGGGGCAGAAGAACAGGGAGGAGGGAGGTGAGAGTGTCAGGACCCAAACTGTGCTTTGTGGGGAGCCCAGGTGGGTGTGAGGATGCATGTGGTGGGCGCCTATACAGTAACAGGTGTCCTGGACTCATGGGCGCGGCCAAGGTTAAGAATCACAGGGACTTGTAGCAAAGGCCCTCCCAACCCCACCAGCCTGCGGCCATGAGGGTGGGTGGAACAGGTGGGTTCACTCACTGCGTGCCCCCAAGGTCAGGCCTCCAGCGCAGCCTCCAATGAAGTAGTTCAGGGGGTCGTCAGGCTTCTCCCGGACCTGGGCACTGATGCAGGAGGCCAGCCCGAACACGGCGCCGATGGCCGCTGCAGGCAGACATGTGGGCACGGGTCAGGGCCTCATCCACACAGGGGAGCTCCTAGCCCGGCCCTACAGACACACTGCCCATCCTGAGGCAGACCTCCGAGGACCCCAGAATCTGCCCGCACCCCTACTCAAAGCAGGGACCAAAGCTGGGGGTGACTGCAGACGTGACCCAGGGGCCAGGGGACACAGGCCAGGGCAGAGAAGCGTGGCCAGGCCAGTGCCAGCTTCCCTCGTCCAGGGGCCCTGGAGGGGGTCACTCACCTGCAGTAAACGTGTACCGTCCTGCCCTGGCCACCCCTTCAAAGAAGGTGCCTGGGGGGTTGAGCGACAGGCTGTAGGCGGAGGCGAACACACCTGGAGAGGAGAGGGGAGTTCATACACCTCTGTACCCAGTGGGGGTGGCCCCCAGGCAATCTGTCAAGTCCCCCATTTTTCTTCTGACATCACCCCCATAACCCACCCTAGGCACCAGCCCTGCCCAGAAACGGGCAAGAAGCCTCATCTGCTGTGCTGGCCCGGGGCTCCACGGCTGCTGAGTGGCAAAGCTGGGGCTTGAACTCGCAGCTGCTGCTGCCTTGGGTGAACTGCCCCATGCCCTGCCGCCCATGCTGTGGGTCTCGGGACCTGAGCAATCCTGGCACCCACAGTACATTTCCCTGGTTTCCGCCAGTCCCCAGAGGGGTGCTGACTTCACACAAGGGGAGCAGCGCCCCAGCTGTCCACGGTGTGTGCATCAGACACCAGGGAGCTGGCCTGGCGCCACACACACAGCCCAGGTGTCCCCCATGCTGGCAGCTCAGCTCAACTCCCATCAAAGGCCCCATTCTCTCTGCACCCAGCCTCCAAGGCTGATCCCCCACCTCCCGGCTCCGCCACGTGCCCAGCTCAGCTGGGCTGGCCACACACCTGGACCTCCCATTGCTCGTGTCAGAGCTGGTGCAGGGGGGTGGGTGCTCAGGCCCACCGGGGGATCTGGCCACAGGCCCCACCCACACTCTTGGCTTCAGCAGACCCCACCTCCAGGCTGACCCTCCCAGGTGGCCAACACCCCTTCCTCTCACCACCATGCTTCAATATCCACTAGCTAGTAGGAACCTCTCCAGGCCAGTCTGTGGCACGAAGCCCACATTTGTCATTCGGTGCCAAAGCTAGACCCATCCAGTCATCCTCTCAAAACCTGGGGAGGGGGTGTCCCATGACCCCATGTCATTAGAAAGGAGGGGCCAAGGAACTTGTATGGGGTCTGCTCCAGCTCGATTGTAACTTGGGGTTCAGTGTCTGCCTATTAGAGCTGAGGGGGACTGCTTCTAGCTGCCAGACGATTAATCTTCAGAGTAAGCCCCTTATACCCATTGTAAAGAAGGAAAAACTGAGGCCCAGATATGAAAGGCCAACAGAAAGTCTGCAATCCTTCTAGATCTTCTTTCTCCCAATCTTACCACAACTCTGTGGTCTCGGATCAGCCGCAGAGCGGTGTGCAGACCTGGCCAGAGCCCTGCTGGGGAGCAAAGGACCCAGGTGGACCCTGGGCAGGGTAGGGGGGTGAAGGAGCAGAGGGGGCTCAGGTCAGGTTTAGAGCTCCATCAGCCTGTACCGGGCTCACAGGCCCCTCCTCAACTACACCCGTGCAGGCAGATACATGCATCTATGCATGCACACACACACAAAGACATGTACTCCCTGCTTGTAAATACGCTTTATCAGAGAGGGTTTATCCTGAGCTGGGCTACCATGAGGGTGTTATAAAAAGTCCCCCTTCTTAGTACAGCCTCTGAACCCAGACAAGGTGGTCCCCACTCCCTGACCCACCCACATCTGCATGGACCTCCCAGCTCAGGACTTAGCCTCATACACCAAAGCCCCAGCGGTTACCAGTCCTGTCAGAGACCTGAGGACCCTAACTCCCCAGAGTACCAGCTCTCTCAGCAAGCCCCCCAGTGGTGACCAGCCAGGCCCCACGCTGCAGGAGTACCCCTCAGAGGACTTCCAGGTGCTGCAACCTCCACCCAGTCCTGCGGACCTGCACACCCCACCCCTCCCAGGCTCCCTCCTCATCCTGCTGGCTGTGTGCCTCCTTCAGCGTCCAGACTCACTCACTCCACAGAGCTCACAGAATGCCAACAACGGCTCAGTCCTGCTCACCTGCACCACAGCCAGACCCAGGACAAGATAACTCAAGTGAGGAATGGAAGGAGGAGGGGTGACGGGGACAGGGAGGGGAGGGGGGCAGGTAGAGGGATGTTTGGAGAGCAGGGAAAATTGGAGCAAGTGAAGCAACACACTCTCCACCCCACAGGTAACACCCTTGAAGCAGTCTGGGACCTGGGAGCACCGCTGGACACAGTGACTGTCACCTGCCTGATTCCCTCACCTGCTATGTCCATTAAGAGCCCCCAAACAGCAAAACCCTCCTAGAGATTCCTCACGCAGCAGACACCCCAAGATCAACTCAGCTCTCCACATGTGACTGTGAGCAAGCGTGTGCACAGAGGAATGTCTACCTGTGCTTCACTGACTATGCAAAGGCACTCGGCCATGTGGATCATAACAAGTCACAGCTAAGACAGAAAAATGGGATCCCAGAACGCTTAACTGTGCGCATGCAAAACCTGTATCTAGAATAAGAAGCTGTTGTGTGAACAGAGCAAGGGAACACTACATGGCTTAAAATCAAGAAAGGTGTGTGACAGGATTTCATCATTTCTTTATACCTATTCAATCTGTATGTTGTTAAATGCAGTCAAGTCGGAGGAGACTCATAGCGACCCTATGAACGAAAGACCCAGACATCTGTATAACTTTCATCCTTTCTCCAGTTTCATAGGGTTTCCAGAGGCAAGCTATTACGGAAGTGGATGCCACTCCTGCTTCCAAGTTTGTTTTAATTGGGGAGCTCCACCAAACACTGTTCACCATGGGTGACCACTCTCGCATTTGACACATCAGTGTCACAGTGTTCAGCTTCAAAGCAACCACGAGTTACTTCTGTACAGCAACAACAACAGCACAGAGAGAGATCAGTTGGCCTGGCAGACAGAAAGTCATTGTTCCAAGCCAAAAGTGGGTGACTCTAATCCACAGCCCTCAGGCTTGCCTTTACTTGTTTTTGGTGAAACATTCTTCTAGGTCGTATAACCCTGGTATGTCCACTTGCTTTACAGAGGATATATATATAGTTGTTGTTGTTATGTTCCGTCGAGTTGTTTGCGACTCATAGCGACCCTATGTACAACAGCCCTAAACCCTGCTCTATCCTGTGCCAATCTCATTGCCTCTGACACACCCATCCCGATTACCCCAGTCACTGAATCAATCCACCTCATAGAGGGTCTCCCTTCCTGCACTGTCCCTCTACCCAGCATGATGTCCCTCTCTACATTTTAAAATATTATTGGTTGATACTAACTCTCATGCTACAAGCTGCACAGGAGTCAGTTTCAATTACTTTCCCTCCTTTTATGACCAGTTTGCTTGGCTCCACAGTCAACACTCTTGGCACCAGTAGCCAGGAAATTAAAAGGCGCACTGCCATGGGAAAGTCTGCTGTTAGGGACCTCTCCAAAGTACTGAAGAGCAATGGTGTCTCTCTGGAGACTAAGGTGCGTCTGATACAGGCCATGGTCTTTGCAATCACTTTTATGCATCAGAGAGTTGTACAATGACCAAGGAGGACAGAAGGAGGATTGACGCCTTTGAGCTGTGGTGCTGGAGAAGAGTATTGAGAGTACCATGGACTGCTAGGAAAACAAACAGATTCATCCGAGAGAGGGTTAAACCAGGCGGCTCCTTGGAGGCAAGGATTCTGAGGCTCCGTCTAACATACTTTGGACATGTTATGAGGAGAGACTGGTCCTTGGAGAAGGACATCATGCTTGGGAGGGTGGAGGGACAGCACAGGAGGGGAAAGCCCTCTAGGTGGTGGATTGATTCAGTGACTGGGTTAATCAGGATTGGGAGTGTCAGAGACAGTGTGATTGGCACAGGATAGAGCAGGGTTTAGGGCTGTTGTACATAGAGTCGCTATGAGTCGCAAGCGACTCGATGGCACATAATAACAACAAACCAGTGTTAGGATCTGATGGGAAAGGGATCTGGAGGTTCAGGCCATGGTCTTTTCAATCACTTGCCATGCATCTGAGAGCTGGATAACGAATAAGGATGACCGAAGATGCCTTTGAGTTGGTGCTGGAGAAGAGTACTGACTATCCCAACAAACTTCTCTTGGAAAAGGTGCAGCCAGAGTGCTCCTTGGAAGCAAGGGTGGCGGAGCTTTGTCTCACATACTCTGTGTATGTTGCTAAGAGATAAGTTATTCCTTGGACAGAAACATCAAGGTTGGTAAAGTGGAGGGATGGTGAAAGACAGGAAGACCTTCAATGAGATGGATTGACAGTGACTGTAATTGAGGGTTTGGGTGTGTCAGCAATTGTGAAGACGGCACAGGACAGGATAGGGTTCGGATCTGTTGTTCACAACATCACTATGAGTTGTACTCGACGCAACAGCACTTAATAACAAGAGAGCTCTAAGGGGAGCTCTGGTGGCCTAGTGGCAAGAAGCTGCACTGCAGTCCCAGAGATGCATGGTTCAAATCCACCAGATACTCCACCGAGGAAGGAGGGACAATTTCCTCCTGTACCAGTCAGATTCAATTTGACGGTACACCACACAAAAATAATAATAATAATAATAAAGAGAGAGAGAGAGCTCTAGTGGTGAGGAATTGTATTGCTAACTTGAAGGCAAGCAGTGTGAATCCACCAGCTGCTCCTCGGGAGAAAAGACAGGCAATCACCTGCTGTGCGATTTACAGTCTCTGAAAAGCCACTGGGAGAGTCTGCTATGGTTCCATTTGGACAACTGCTTCTTGGTCTGTGTATACGTTTCACACGAGCACAATTAAAGTTCCGCGATGTCCATTCCTGAAGACCAGACGAATTGTGGAACGCCACCAAGGATCATGCATTCCATGAAGAACGCAAATACATCCAGGGCCCTAAACAGATTCATCCCAAAACGACCTCTAATTTTTGTAAATCTCGCTGACCCCCTGAGGCACTTACATAACGTGGAGTCCTGTTAGAAAGACTCAAGATCCCTCAATTCTCCTCATCTCCGAAAGTGGGCCTAGTGATGGCCACAACCAGAAGGCCCTGGACCGAGAACTACCCCGCCATCGATGACCCCAGCTTGTCATATGTACCACGACCTCTCGGCTCCCTCCAACCCACTCGTCTCGTCTCCCCCACAACGCCTATTCCAGAAGAGAGCTTTCAAGCGTCCCACGGGTGACAGATCAGCGGCGTGCCTGCGGCGCCCGTGAGACCTGTCACCCGCGACCCCGCCCGCGCGCCCCACGACCCTCTCGGCCGGCGGCTCCGAGTGATCCTGAGACCTCTCCGCGCCCTCCGGCTGCTCACCGACGGTGCCGCTGATGCTCGTGCTGGCATAGGCCTTGCGGTGGCAGCTGGTGCCGTCGGGGATGTCCCAGTACTGCTGCAGCAGCCACCGCGCCATGGTCGCGTCCCGGGGTCTCCGCCGGCTCCGCACGTCCAAGGTCGCCCGCTCTCACGACACTTCCGGGGCGGCGAGCGCAGCCCACAGCGCGCAGGCAACAACGCGCAACTTTATTGGGCGCCGCGGACACGAACACGGACACGGACTCGGGCGGGGCTGGCCGGAGGGACGAGGTAGCGCAGCGTTTGCAGGTTTTACGGGACGAAACTAATGCCCACGAGGGTGGAGAGGTGGCACGGAGCCCCCAAGCTCCAAAGGGTCCTGGGATAGAGGAGCCCAGACTGCCGGATGTGGATCCTAGGTGGAGGCGGGGCTAGGAAGGCAGCTGAGCCTATCCTCGGGCAGAGAGCAGGAAGGGGGCGGGCCTCCGTGTGCTAGGTTTGTTGATAGGTTCCCCGGGCGGCTGGCTGTACAGATAGATGACCGAAGGGGACACTGCTGCTCCTGCACCATCCTCATAACTGTTGCTGTGTTTGAGCCCGCTGTTACTTACCCTGCCAGTGTGTCTCCTCGAGGGTCTTCTCTCTCTCTTTTTTTTTTTTTTTAAATTCTAAGGGCTAAGACTTATTGCGATGGGAAAGTTGGCTGTTTAGGGACCTCTCCAAAGTACTGAAGAGTAGTGCTGTCACTCAGGAGACTAAGGTGCGTCTGATACAGGCCATGATCTTTGCAATCACTTGCTATGCGTCAGAGAGTTGGACAATGACTAGGGGTGATAGAAGAAGAATTGATGCCTTTGAGCTGTGGTGCTGGAGAAGAGTATTGAATATACCATGGACTAAGTAAATGAACAGGTTCATCCTTGAGAGGGTTAAACCAGGCTACTCCTTAGAGGCAAGGATTCTGAGGCTTTGTCTGACATACTTTGGACATGTTGCAAGGAGGGACCAGTCCTTGGAGAGGGATGTCATGCTTGGGAGGGTAGAGGGACAGCGCAGGAGAGGAAGACCCTCCGTGAGGTGAATTGATTCAGTGGCTGGGATAATCGGGAGACAGTGCGATTGGCACAGGATAGAGCAGGGTTTAGGGCTGTTGTACATAGGGTCGTTATGAGTCGCAAGCCACTCGACGGCACATAACAACAACAACAACAACAAGGTTTATAGTTTATTGACCCATCAGACATTAACCAGTTTTGTCTGTACCCAGCAATCTTCTCCAAACATCCCTTTCTATATTTTTTGTTATTATTAATTTTAATGAAAGTTTACAGAGGCTTTGGATTTCCATTCATTTATTGTTGCGTTTTTCTCCCTGCCCACCCCTCCCCACAATTCGCTCTTTTCTTTGAAAAGTAAAAGAAAAAATATTTCATTGTTACACAGTCCCTCCCCCCAAGTCCATTCCACTATGCAGCCTTCGTTGTTGACTCTTGTCATAATAATAATAATACCTAATCATATATCACTTTTAAACAGTTCTCTCCCTCATCTGTTTCAATGAATTATACATTACTTAACCCCTCTTTCTCAGTCTCCCCTCAACCACGATGTCAGTCTCGTTTTACAACAGTGGCACTATGCAATATTTGTCCTTTTGTGATGGAGATATTTCACTCAGCATAATGTCCTCCAGGGTTACCCATTTTGTATAGTATTTCATGAGTTCTTTGTTTTTCAGTGCTACATAATATTCCATTATGTGAATATACCACAGCTTCTCCATCCATTGGTTTGTTGAGGGGCACTTGGGTTGTTTCCAACTCTTTTCTATTGTGAACAAAGCCACAATAAACATGGGTGTGCATATATCTTCCTGGGTGGCCATTATGGTTTCTTTAGGGTATATTCCCAGTAGAGGAATTGCCGGGTCAAATAGTATTTCTATTTGCAACTTTTTGAGAAAGCACCACACCGCCTTCCACAGTGGTTGCACTGTTCTACACTCCCACCAACAGTGAATAAGGGTTCAAGTTTCTCTGCAACCTCACCAGCATTTGACATTTGCTGTTCTGTTAAATTTTGCTATTTTTACTGGGGTGAGATGATATCTCATAGTTGTTTTGATTTGCATCTTTCTTAGCGCTAGGGATTTTGAACATTTCTTCATGTGTTTGTTTGCCATCTGAATGTCTTCTTTGGTGAAGTGTGTCTTCCTTTTTCTTTCGATGACCCTTTGCCAAGAATGATGTCCTTCTCTAGGAACTGGGAGCTTTCAGGTTTAGCTGCAGTTCTCCCAAAACAGATTTGTTTGTTGTTTTACTCTGTAGGGAGTTTCTCTGCCAACCCAAAGATGGCGTTTGCCTGAAAGTTTGAATCCACCAGCAGCTACTTCGAAGAAAGATGAGCGGTCTCCTACCATGTAATTTACAGCTTCCAAAAATCAGCTGGGAAAAAAAAATCAGCTGGAGGGTCAGCTGTGAGTTGGTTTCCACTCGACCCCCCAATGAGTTGAGTACATGGTATATTCAACATTCTCCGCTAATACCATAATTTCTCCTTTGAGTTCCTTATTCAGTTACTTTCCAGTGCTCACATGCATATGTGACTGCTTTTATGTGCAGATAGAAAAAGAATTGAGGGTGAGAGAGAGAAAGAAAGAAACTGGTTCCAAGAAACATAACAGACTTTTATTGCAGGGCCCAAGAGGGACGTTAAGTGACCATGAGCAGAGAAGATAAAAACGGTGCCCCAGGTGGTCTAGGGTGGTTTCTTTTTAGAGGGGTTTTAGGGAAAGCTTGTTTGTTCTCTTAGCAATCCATGATACGTTCAATACTCTTCTCCAGCAACACAACTCAAAGGCATCTATTTTTCTTCTATCCTCCCTAGTCATTGTCCAGCTTTCTGATGCATAATAAGTAACTGCAAAGACCATGGCCTGTATCAGGCACACTTTGTTCTACTAAGAGAACAAACAAGTTCGTCCTGGAGAGGGTGAAGCCAGGCTGCTCCTTGGAGGCAAGGATTCTGAAGCTTCGTCCGACATACTTTGGACATGTTGCAAGGCAGGAGTGATCCTTGGAGAGGGAAGTCATTCATGCTTGGGAGGGTGGAGGGACAGAGCAGGAGGGGAAGACCCTCAATGAGATGGATTGACTCAGTGACTGGGTATTGGGGGTAGGTGTGTCAGCGACATTAAGATTGGCTCAAGATAGAGCAAGATTCTCTAGTCCCATATGACACTACTGTCCAATAGATAGAACTCCACAGGAGAATCTGGTGGTTTCCTCACAGAAGAAAGATGAACAGAGTTCTCTCATTGTGATTTACAGTCACGGAAACCCAGCAGAGGGTCACTCTTGAGTCAGAACCTGGAAATGAGTTTGAGTTTATGCCATACAATAGATTTCTTGACTGTTGGTTCAATTGATTGCTGACTCAAGTGAAATGAAATCCTTGACAACTTCAGTATTTTATGTTGTTGTGTACTGTTGTATCAAATCACACTGGAGATTGCCCATCTTTCTCCTGGGAGCAGCTGGTGGATTAGAACTTTATAGCTTTGTGTTGGGGCACAATTCCTTACCACTAAGGACAGTATTTCATAAAGATGAAAAAAATTAAGGGAGCTCTGGTGGCCTAGAGGCAAAAAGCTGCACTGCAATTTCAGAGGTACGTGGTTCGAACCCACCAGATGCTCTGCTGGAAAAGGAGGGGCAGTCTCCTCCTGTACCAGTCAGATCCGATTTGACGGTATGCGTGCGCCGCACACACACACACACACACACACACTTACAAAAAAAAATAGGAAAGGTGGCCTAGTGGCAAGAAGCTGCACTGGCATCCCAGAGATATGCAGTTCGAATCCACTAGATGTTCTGCTGGAGAAGGAGGGACAATCTCCTCCTGTACTGGTCAGATCTGATTTGACGGTACATACAAATAAATAAATAAATAAATAAAATAAAAAAATTTTAAAAAATAGGAAAGGTGTATGTCAAGATTATATTCTTTTTCCATACCTATTCAATTTGTATAGTGAGTAAATTATTCAAGAAACTGGACTCTGTGAAGAAGAATGTGGCACCAGAAGTGGAGAAAAACTCATTAATAGCCTTCATTGTGCAGATGACAAAACCTTGCTTGCTGAAAGTGAGGAGGACTTGAAGCACTTGCTGTAGGATGTCAAAGCCTACAGCTTTCAGTGTGGATTGCATCTCAATGTCAAGAAAACAAACGTTCTCACCACTGGCTCTATAATCAACATCATGATAGATAGATAGATAGATAGATAGATAGATAGATGATAGATAGAAGATAGATAAATAGATAGATAGATAGATAGATAGATAGATAAATAGATAGATAGATAGATAAAGGTATTGAAACTGTCAACGACTTCATTTTACTTGGATCCACGATCAATATACTTGGTACCAGTAGTCAGTAGATGAGATATGTTGCACGAGGAAAGTCTGCAGTCGGAGACCTCTCCAAATTATGGCGGATCAATGATGTTAATTTGAAGATTAAGGTGTGCTTTATTCAGTCCGTGTTCAGTCACTTGCTATGCTGCAGAAAGCTGGACAGTGAATAAGGATAAGAGAAGAATTGATGCCTTTGAACTGTATTATCAAAGAAGAGTACTGAAAATTTCATGGACTGTCGAACAAACAGGTATGTCTTAGAGAAGGTGCAGCCAGAGTGCTCCTTGGAGGCAAAGATGATTAAACTTCGCCTCACATACTTTGAGCATGTTAGGCGATACTATTCATTGGAGAAGGACATCATGTTTGGACAGATGGCGAAAGAGGAAGACCCTCAACCACATGGTTGACACAGTGATTGCAGCAATGGGCTTAAGCGTGTTAGAGATTGTGAGCGTGGAGCAGGATAGGACTCGATTCAAATCTATTGTTTATAGTGTGGTTATGTTGTTGTTAGGTACCCTCGAGTGGAGTATGACCCTGTGTCGCTGAGTCGTACTCAACTTGAAGGCACCAAACAAGGACAGTGTTCAGATAGGTTATTCATAGGGTAGCTATCTATGACTCGACCGGACGGCAGCAAACAAGAAGCCTCCACCGGAGCTTTGTTCAATAATTAATAGGAGGAAGATAT